TATGATGATATGTAACTGGGGTCTGTTCTTTATGTCTGTCATTTGCTTATTCTACTTTGATCCCAGCGATGTAGGCATTTATATATCCAGGGCCCCGTCTTAATATTGCAATTAATCATATTATCTGACGATGATAATTAAGAGACCAATGGTGAGATCAACCAGTGGCATGATTGGCCTGCCATAGCTAAGTCCAACTTAAAGTCGATCATAGTCTGTGTGACCCCCCCCCCCCCCCCGCCTGACACGATCACCATGGCCGTAGCCAGAGTTTGATGTTTGGGGGGGGGGGGGAGGGGGGGGGGGCACATACATGTTATTGGTCGATGTCCTGGGGAGGGGTCTAAAAAAAGTGGCGCTCACGCGCACCTACTTTCGAACAAAAATGTTTAAAGCAACTTCAGTGGCCCTCTCCACCACCTTTTGAAACGCGCGAACATTAAAATGACGTATTACGTAATCTGAACATGAGTTCGTTGGAATATACAATAGGGAATTGAAATGCCATTGAGTTGCTTTTTCGAAATTACTGATTTGCGATCGTGATTAATACACGATGATTTTCTACTGAATAAATCAATACAAATGATACATTTCATCGTATATTTTATTTTAAATTTCACATTACATAATAAATCATAACGGTATGTTAGTAAATTTTCTTTAAAAATTAATCTGTTTATAAAATAAAAGAAATCAAAGTTAGAAAAATTGCAATAATTTAATACGTTAGTTTTGCAATTACATATATTCTTTTTTATTTACGAATAATATAAATCTCAAGTTTGACATGGTTTGAATCTCAGTACATGCCAGGGGCGGATCCACGTAGCGATTATTCCGGCCCGCCCCCCCCCTAACCCCCCAAAACGATAAAAAAAATAGGATAATAATGTAGAGTTAACCTTTATAAAACAAAAAACGAAAGCGCCCCCCCCCCCCGCTTATTCGCCGGCCGGCTGAGTCGGCACTAAATTTTGTATTAAGATTTGGCTACCCCCCCCCCCCCCTTGACGCCGTCTGGATCCTCTGCAGGCGCGGATCCACGGGGGGGGGGGGGAGCTGACGGGTCAACAACAAAAAAACAAAAAACAAAATTCTCACGAATTAGGTGAAAAAAACTAAAATAGTGGTCTCATCCCCCCCCCCCCCCCGCTTATTTACCGGCTGACTGAGTCGGCGCAAAATATTTCCTAAAAATTGGACCAAAAAAAAGTGCCTCCTACCCCCCCCCCCCCCCCCCCCCCCCACCGGTAGCTGAGTCGCAACTAATATTTTCTCACGGATTGGGCCCCCCCTCCCTCTTCCCGCCGGCTGGATCCGCCACTGGTACATGCAGGCCTGCCGTCTATAACTCAAAGTAGCTACATGCTATTATATAAAACAAACAAGTATCCGGAGGAATGAGGAAAGTAGATTTTAAACAATAAATGATTTCCCTAATTCTTATTTATAATTCTGATAGAATTAGGAAATAGGAAATACATCTAATATACAGTTTGAGTAAGCTAAAAGACATGTTTGATGGCAATAACATTTGGAGTCTTTTACCGAATTTTTCCATTACTTGTTGATAATTGATCGGTGGAAAAATTACTTGCACGGAGTCCAAAGTCAGGTGCTTTTTTTAAATGGCCTAGAATGCGAAAATTGTATTGCTTGTCCCGGGTGCGACATTGGATTACCGCAGCTGGGTAATGGCAGGCAACAAAGAAAAATAATGAGACATTCATACCGTGTTATTATTCGCCTGCTACTATTTAAAAAAAAATCTTCTAGATGGGAAATTATTTAGGAGTACGACTGCAACAGCTCTGTCCTATATTCTGGATACGCAACCAATTTATTAGAGTTATATGTATATATATATATGATGATGATGAATGCCTAAGAAAAATGGTTTCTCACTATATATATGTACGGTCTACATCTTACGAATATGATGATTAACTCTCCCTTCTACTTTCTTCCATTTATTTATATTTAGTTGTCCTCTTTCTACCAGTTTTGAAACATGATTTTAAGATTAATTGATTAATTACTCAATCTTAGAGCGAAACTTATTTGACATTGGGGGAGTGAGTTAATCTGCTGGGAGGGATCTTTGTCCACCCCACTTCCTCGATCCCCCGTTTTAAAATCGTATATGCTTATTCTCCTCGTCATGTTTACTCCCCCCCCCCATCAAAGATGGATTTGTGCACCTTGTATTATACTGAATGGTAACAATTATTGATAATACAAATAGATTGGCCGAATTCAATATCTTCCCTGTAAGAATATCATTTTTTGACGACAAGGTGCTCTGGACCAAATGGGAAATGAGTGATGTTTCGAGCGCCATCTTTCGTCACGACGAGAATGTTGTGTTCCCTGTAGCCTCCTGCACCAGGCTCTCCTTCGGGTATGGTGACCATAGGCTCCATCGAGACCACCATGTTGGGTTCTAATACTGTATCGATGTCTTCACGTATCTCCAGAGCTTCATGCAATAGAAGAAACATATTAATCATGTTTAGCAAATGCAAGATTGGTCCTGCCTTTTTGGAGCAAAACTCCAGCGATATAGGCCTATAGCATAATTATTCGCACTCATTCATATATCTCAAACTACTGATTTGAAAATAAGTAATCCTTGCTATTGCTTTTTATGTTGAAAGTTGACATAATTATTATTTGACTGATCATGAATCTGCTAAATTAGTATCGATTGATCAGCAAGGTTAACACACATCTTAAGTTAAGTAGAGATTACTGACATAATTATATGGACACAAAATACTGGACATAATGAGAGATTTCCGACATTTCGAGGGTAAAATAGGCCTATACCCAGGCGCGGATCCAGGATTTCTTAGGGGGGGGGGGCCCAAATTTGAAATTATGCGAGCCAAATGTTGGTACGTAATGATGACCAACAGTGACGGAATGCGGAGGGGGGGGGGGTCGGTGCAGAGAGGGGCGAGTTTTCCCCACCCTCCTCCACGAAACGCGGAAGCTTTGACGTTTCATTAAATTATTAGAGAAAGAAGACGATGCGTTGTACCGTTCTCTATACTCTTAATCCTTGTCTGAATTTCAAAGATGTTCTTTGTCTGCTCCTTTTACTTTCTACGTCCTCTTCCGATTTGGGGAGACCGCCCCCCCCCCCCCCCCCTGGCTGGCTACGCGCCTGCGGTCAGATAAACACATTTTGATAACTTGTCCGGCTCCGGAAGCTCAGGGGTTTTAGGCGTTTAATTAAGGTCAGTTGATCATTTTTTTTTTAATTACCTATTATTTTGTGACAATGGCAGGTCACTATTTGGCGTGGGGTCCAGGGGGCGGATCCCCCCAAAAGCGGGGTTTTAGGCATTAAATTACCGTCAGATGAGCATCTAAGGGCCCACCGTAGCGCCCTAGGTGGAATCCAGGGGGCAGAGCCCCCGGAAGCTTAAGGGTTTTAGGCATTTAATCACGGTCAGATGAGCATATTTTGATGACTCATTTTTTAACACTGGCAGTTCGTTCTTTCTTGCGCTCATTCTATTTTTTTCCTCTTTAATATACTTTTTCAAATAAAGTGGCGGGGGGGGGGGGGGGGGGTGAGGGAGCTCGAGGCTCCCTGCCGTACCTCGGGCCCTGACATGTAGGAATCTCGAGAATCATATTTCGTGCCTGGCTGTAAATTTAGGAATTTGTCATTTTCCAACAAACACATATACAAACGTATAATTTACTAAAAAGTGAGGACAAATCTCGGAAATTATGTCATTTCAGCATTATTTGTAATCCACCGTTGTGGAATTAGAAATAAACCACGTTTGAATTTGATTTCCCCAAAGCCCCCCTCCCCCCTATTAGTACGCCAGTATCTCCTCCTTTCCTTTTTTCTTTCCCTTTCCTTCCTTCTCTCTTATTTTTTTTATTGGAGGGGGGGGGGGGGGGGGGGGGGGTCAACAGCCTGGGAGGAAAGGCCCTTTCGGTCCCCCGATCTCCTTCTTCCCCCTTTTCTTTTCTTCTTCTTCTTCTTCTTCTTCTTCTTCTTCTTCTTCTTCTTCTTCTTCTTCTTCTTTCTTTCCCTTTCTCCTCTTCTCCCTTTCCCTTCTTTTCCTTTCTTCTCTCTCTTTTTTTTTTTTTTTTTTTTGCGGGGGGGGGGGGGGGGGGCCAAGGCCCGCTCGGCCCCCCCCCCCCTGGATCCGCGCCTGCCTATACCTGCCCTAAAAAACAGAGAGCCCGCCCCTCTTAATACAGTTCATATGCCCGTTTGCCTTTTCAATACACGAGCAGGCATGTGTCGGTTCTGAGGATTCTCATCTATAGCTAGGAGAGAATGGAAAAGAACAGGACTGAGAGAGAGAAAGAGAGAAAGAGGAAACAAAAGAGAGAGAGAGGACTGAATGGATCGAGGGAGGGGACAGAGCGCGCGCGCCAGATAGAGAGAGAGAGAGAGAGAGAGAGAGAGAGAGAGAGAGAGGAGGGACTGGGAGAGAGAGAAAGAGAGAGAGAGAGGGAGTTATAGGGTGGAGTCGGCGTACCCACCCCCCCCCCCCCTCTCCTCCCCACTTGTTTACTAATATATTAGATACGCCACTGAAGAAAGAAAAAATATATAATCGCCGTTGGGCAATTTGGGCTCCCCTTCTTCTAAAGTTGCTTCAAAGCATATTTATGTATTATATTGATTAAAAAAAGAACAAAAATACATTTTCTCACCAGCCTCTCTGCCGTAATAGTGACATAGCACACCGAACGAATGGCCGTAGCCGAAGCTCCGGTACTTGAGGAGATCGAATTTGCGATACATGTCGTTGAGCTCGGCGGCGATGTCGCACACTCGAACACCTGGCTTGATCAGGGCCATACCACGGCGATGGATTTCGCAGTTCTTCTTCCATACTTCCATATGACGGTCTGAGGGGACGTGGTCGCAGAAAAGCGTGCGTTCGAGAGCAGTGTAATATCTAGAATAAAGGACGCAGGAGGCAGCGTGATAAATTAGACTATCGAATTACATGATTGTAATTATCAGATTATTTTACGATTATCTTTTCTTTCTTTTTCCTTTTCCTCGCTGAAAATTTATATTATGAGAATTATTTAATACGAAAAATGTTAATAGTTATCATCTCTGTATTATATTATCACTGAGGGGCCCGTCTTTTTAAGAGTTGCATTTGATCCCAATCAATCAATCAATCAATCAATCAAATATCAGTGGTATTGGTGTAAAGTGTAAACTCATCTTACCCAGCGATCATGGGGAATGTGTTCATACTAAGAATGTCGCCTTTCTGGATTTTGCGTGACGTCACAGGGTTATGGGCTCCGTCCGTATTGATTCCAGATTGGAACCAAATCCAGGCTGAGGGAGGAAGAACATATACAAATTGCGATACCAGGGGCCGTTTCTCGAAACTGTCATAAGTCCAACTTCTTAGATATCCCATTGCAACCCCGGCCCCCCACTCAGGGGTCGGAATGACCGCATGCGTGTTGCCAAAATGTCCGGTACAGGGGTACTTTTCGTGCGACAAAGTCCGGCCCGAGAATTGTAAAAAAAAAAAAGGGGTGTATTTGACTTTTCACCCGGAAATTTCTTTAAAAATGGGTTTTTTTTTCTTTTTTTCTCTCATCTCTTTGGACTCCTGAGAAATCATTCCGAATTTAGGGGGGTACATTGAGCATTTTTCCTGATTTAGGGGGGGGGGGGGGGGGTCTCCAAGGCAGGAAAAGCCCGTGAAAAGCCCGCGAAAGGGGGGTTCGAAAATGTTGGCAGTCCTCAGATAGGGGGTGCTTTCAAAAAGAGGGAACGAGCATATGCTTACCCTATGGGGGGCCGGAATTGCAACGTGTGTAATAGAATTAACACGCGTTTCTATGGGATGTCCACGAACTTAGACTAATGACGGTTTCGGGAAACTGGCCCCAGAGGTGTATAGCCACAATGGGAACGTGCCCCCTAATCAAGTGGTGGAAAAATAAAAAGAATTACAAGCGAGAACAGAGAGAAAGGGAAAAGCAGATGAGGGAAAGGACGAGGAGAGAAGACACAGCCCGCACCTTCTTCCGAAAATGCATCTTATTAGTAAATCAGTATCTGAGTAAGACTGGTGCCCCTAAAGAGGGGCAGACAAGGCCAACAAAATATCCTGAATAAAGGGGATAAAGAGAAATAACAAAAATGTTACAGAAAAGAATAGACAGATGATTTGGTGACTTACTATCTCTAAGCTCTGCATCTGGGAAACTCTTGGCTATCTCCATGACCATGGCCTCAGTCCCACGGAGGGCCACTTCGTGTTCACCAACACCCTCCGCAATGGCGTCGACCACCGCTTTGCCTCCAAGATCACATATCCTAGCACCTTCAGTGATCAGCGCAATCTCCTCATCAGACTTGATCAATCTCCGCATCATCATCGGTGTTCCGACGTCGACGATGCCCTTTCCCGAAACAGCCTTGTCGAGCTTCACTTTATTCTCGAGCGTCATGTGGTCGAACTCGCAACCAATCTTCGATCCCGAAGGCACATCGGCCAGTTCCTGCTGAACGGCCGTCCAGAAGTTGTCCCGTTGCCAGTCCGTGTAGACGACGTTACCTCCAGTACTGGTCCGTCTCCAGGGTTGTCCAGCGTCAATTCCTGCAGAGATGCTTGTGACTTTGTCTGCAGTGACGACCAAGCCATAGGGACGACCGAAGGAGCAATAGAGGAAGTCTGAGAAGTAGTTCACGTTATGCATTGAGGTGAAGAGGGTTCCACCGATGTCATTTTCTGCCATGTATTTCCTCACCATCGCTATCCGACGGTCCATCTCTGCTTTCGAAAAAGTTGGAGTGACCTGCAAGAGCAAAAATAAAATAATGATAATAAAAAGTTTTCGAGATTTCAATGTTCACTTGCTATTTGCTCCAGGACCCGAATATGTGGAGACTGTGCCTTCTCCGCAGCCCTGACACTTTGGAACAGGGACCCGTTTCACAAAGCCTTTTCTCAATGACAAATGACAAAAATCAGTGACAAATCTGCTGATAACCAATCAGAAACGAGGATTTCAGTAGCTTATAACAAAAACTGTCATTTGTCACTGATGAAAAGTTCTGTGAAACACCCCCCCCCCCCGGTTACCTATCGAGGTGCAAAATGCAAGCCCCATTATGACAATGCGTTCGTTTGTTTGTCCTGTTATAATTATGTTCATATATTTCATATTATCATGTTACTTTGTATCAGGCTATATGCTTTGTAATACGTTAAAGAATGTACAATTTTGTTAATTTCGTGTACTATTGTCAATACTCCATGTTGGGTCTATAACGTCATGACTATCACTACATGATTTTCGTTTAGTTTAGAAACATTGACGTAATAGGCCGTTTTTGTAATGTAATCAAATGTAAATTTGTACATCTTTGAAATCGTTACGTTGGTTTTTCTTAGGTCTTTCGTGTTTGTTGCAGCTGTAACGATGATATGCAGATTCCAAGAAATTGGAGACAACAACAACAACAAAATGATCAAATTTCACCTACCTTCTTTCCGTTGTTCATGGTATAAAGTTTGGGCATTTCATCGTTGGACGAATCCTGGGGAGCGTGAGCGCAATCCATCTTGTTTGTCTATTATTGAATCTAAACAGAATAGCATATACTTATATAGATATTTTAAAGAATTAAATAAAACATGACAGCTATACTTTGTGCATAATTTGTGCATGATATAACATCACCTATGTTGTTTTGCCCGTGTTGTTACGCGATTAGCATTCTGACTATTGAGGTACGAGTACAAGTATTGTAACTGGTGAATTAAATAATTCATATTTCGCACTTCACAAAGACTTTAATATAGCCTCATCCACAGAAATAACTTAAGTAGTATTCTGAGATATTTATTGTATTCTTGCCCATTAATCTACAAGATTCCCCATCAAAGTGTATGCGAGAGGTATAAGCAAGATATTCTTAGCATAATGTACAGTTTCTCAGGATGACATGGGCAACGCCATTTTCTTGATAACGTGACGTATATGCGAAGTCATTTTTCAAGTAAAGTGTATTCAAATGTATGGCTGCTTCCTTCCCGCGTGAGTGTGGTGGTGACGTATTTCATTCACATGTTACAAACTACATTATCGTTTGTACTACAATCACGGTCGGAACTCAAATTGAAGAAATGAGTTGTTGCTCTTCTGGGGTACGTGACGGTTTAGCATGATTGAAATATAGATATGTCAACTGCTATATTTTTAGTATTTTTGAATAAATAAGTTACGATTGTTTCTGTGTTATATATTTCTCATGAAATACATTTTTTTACCTTTTAGGCTCTCATTTTCATTTTCCTTCATTGGAAAGTAAAGGTTTTACAACTGAGGGGGGGGGGGGGGGGGGGGGGGGGGGGGGGGGGGGGGTAAGAGGACACATTTTTTTTTTTTTTTGTCTCGAAATTTGAAAATTTGACATTTTGCTCCGTTGGGGGGGGGGGGGGTAAGGTCTGCTTTTTTAGGTCAACCATGGGATTTTTTTTTTTTTTTTTTTTTTTTTTTTAAATTAAAAAAAAAAAAAAATCCAAAAGGGGGGTTTTAGAGAAATTTAGGGGGGGGTTTACACACAAAAAATTACCAAAGGGGGTGTTTAACCCCCCAACCCCCCCCCCCCCCCTTTGTACGCGCCTGCTAGTGTTTGTAAATTAACCTCGGTGAACTTCTGGTTATGACGGTTTCGTAAAACGTTCGATGCCCTCGATCGTGACTAAAAAAGGATTATGTATACATGTACCAGGGAACAGATATCTAAATATGTTCCTTCAAACATCTACTGCAGATTCTTGTTAAACATCAGTCACACACCAATACAGAGAAGGACCACTTACTGAATACCTAACAAAATTACATTACCACCCCCCCCCCCCTTCCCTCCGCCTCCATCGCCAAAAAGTTGGTCGATATGAAGTCGGTTTGTGGGTCGGTTGGGGGTGTGTCGTGAGATACCAAATAAAGCAAATAAACCAAAATTACCAAATAAACAGGACAGAAATATTACATACCTTTCAGTTGAAAATGTAGATATTGTCTCTCAATCTGCCTGGATATAGGCCTACTTGTCATATGACCAATGCAGCTAGACGGCTGTGAGAATATTATACTACTATAACTGTATGGCCTAATGAAATATGGTTTCGTGATGCACCAGTAACAGGAGCTAGTACAGCTAACAGGAAACCCCGTGCGAAGCTGGTTTTTAACAATAGGATCTTATCTCCCCCACAGATCTTCCTAATCCGGAATACAAACCCGTTATATCCAGGGAAGCATTACATTGTCCAAATAGAAGAATGTTTACTTGGGCCTAATACACGACCTTCTTTTATGGCTAACCAATGACAAGTGCATACGAAAATGAAATAGGGTTCATGATTCCAAGGTTCATAATTCCGAGAATGCAATATAGAATTCTCTTTTGTTGTCAGATTTACGAACACAATGGATACTATTTCATTTTCGGGACAGCTAACCTTCGGAATAATCAGGCACGGAGACATTGTATGCATCCAGGCGCGGATCCAGGGGGGGGGGGGGGTGGGGGGAAGGAGGAAAAAAAAAGGAGGAAAAAAAAGAGGAAAAAAAAGGAGGAAAAAAAAAAAAAAAGGAGGACAAAAAAAGAAGGGAAAAAAAAGAAAAGCGAGAGAGAGAGAGAGAAGGAAAAGAAGGGAAAAGGGGAAAGAGAGAAGAGGAAGAAGAAAAGAAAAGGGGCAAGGAGTGATCGGGCGGGGGGGGGGGGGGGCGAAAGAGCCTCGCCTCCCCATCCCCGCTAAAAAAGGAGAGAAAAAAGGAAAAGGAAAAAAGGAGAGCTAAAAGGGACCCCAAAAAAAGGTGAAAAGAAGGGGAAATAGATCATTTGCAGTTAATTCCCGTCAACAACGTGTGGAGAAGGGTGGGGGTTAGGTTTTAGAATGTGAAATTTGTGCGTAGTCAGCAATAGACTTGTTTACTAAAAAACGACGAATGCGTTTGCGTTTACATTCAAATTTATGGACGTTTCTTTACTTGGGACCTATAGTGACGAGTTATTTCATGTACATTAATGAATGAACTATTTTACTTAGAATCCAGTCTGCATACATTATTTGTTGCTATATCGGACACGCTTCGGGCAAGCTTTCAGATTTTCAAGAACAACTTTGTTTTAACTTTATGCATAGCATTTGAATATGTATGTAAACATGTCTATTTTGTACGTGTCCCGAAACCTCAGGTTAACTTTGAATCTCCCTTTATGCATAATTTATAATATCATCTCTACGGATGGAATTCTCTTTGTATGTATTACTTGTTGCTATGTCAAGCAGGGCTCCCACTTAGCCGAGTTGGAGCCTCGAGTTGTGGCGGTGCGAGCTTGAACTCCCGTACACTCGCGTGAACTCGCTTGAAATGTACTAATTTTTTATTTACATTTACATATTTGCATGAGTGACCTACGACCCAACATCGAGTTTCCTACGATGGATGTACGAGTGAACCAATCGTATTACGAGTCACGCGAGCTCGGTATGAGTTGCGATGACCTGTATACGACTTGTACCTATCTACCAACGAGTTATCACGATCTTCTAACGAGTGATAAGAGTTTTCTACGCATAATTTTGGCCAAGGGCGATTAAGCGACTTCCAAAGTGGGGGGGGGGGGGGGCAACAACAAAAAGGGGCACTTTCTGGAGAAAAAAGGGCACCTTCAAAAGGAAATGTCAAAGCGAAAATGCACATTTTTTGTTGGTATATACCCCTATATTGTGAATACATTATCAGGAACGATTTCAATATTTGTTTAACGTTGTACACAGAACAGGATATTGCTTAAGCATCATACTTTGCAGTTGGGTGTGATGGTTTCAAATATCAATTTGGGTGCGAGGATTTTTAAAATATTTGTTATAGATTTGTGAGTTCAGTGCGTAAAATTACATTTTATAAATAAGAAAAATCCCAATCCTAGTGGGGTTATAAGCCCATTCTCATAACAAAAGACTGAAAAGCCCTTTGATAAATAGCATAAGTATATCATCTATAAAAGCGAGTGAGCTTTGAGACCGAGCTTTATATAGGGGGAGGTACTCTTAGTCGCTTGAAATTAGGGGCGTGATGAAAGGAGAAGGGGACACTTATCCAAAGTACAAAGAGTAGTTATCAGAGGTTAACGTGGGGCACGTCTTACACCTTCAAAAAGAGGCACTCACCAGGGACGATAAAAGGCACTTATGAAAATAGGATATGGGCATTTGAAGTAACTTCTCGTACCTGAAAAAAGGGGAATTATTAGAGGTAAAAGGGCATGTATCACATTTGAAAAGGGGCAATGACCAGTTTTGAAAACGGACACTTACGGTAATTAAAAGGGGGCACTTACAATCAACGAATAACAGAAATCATCATACAATAGCAATATTGTAAGAACAAACATTCTAGAATTATAATGTTTTCCGTCTTCTTATCCTAATGGATACATAACCAAACAATTAATATCAAACGTCTTGTACATCACACTTCTTAACAATTTCATCCTTAAGCATGTTCCTTTGAAATTGCTAAATACTACCTGTGAATGTATTCTATACGCTAACCAATTACAATATACAAACCCGAGAACTAACCCGGATCATGTTTATATCTAAGATACCATGTTCATATAAACCATGACTTTTCCTTTAACTATCCTTATGTTCTCATGAACATACATACTAATAAAGAAGTCATACCATTATTATCAAACGGTATCCAAGTAAACTCCCTTAAATAATCAAGGATTATTTAATACAAGTTATATTATTTCAGCCAATAAAACTAACAATTGACTATAAGAAATAACCTCAAAGTGTAGTTTAACAAACACTAAACTGAATCTCAAAAGTAGTAATGACCCTTTAAATCATCACATCAAAATGACTACTCTAATAACAAACTATACTACTAAATACTAAGGATGGAATACCAGTAAAATGTATTACTTTAGCATGAATATATAACATATACAATATACATGTATACATATTAATATCAAAATAATTGACAGAAATAATATTGTCTTACCTGGAAATAATCAAAGATGAGGAGAAACAAGTCAGTTGGTGTACTCAGTGCTCACTCAAAATGTAGAATGACACATGTTGTACACTATGCATGCTGACCGATCCCTGCTCAAGTCTTAATCTCCAAGTTCGTCCATTTATGCTGGTAGGGTAATGTTTACTAAACTGGGGGGGATTAATCCTTAGTCTGTACTGTGCTCACTGGACATAGCAAACTCACATAAACTTACTAAACAATACAAAGTTAGGAACAAAGGGGTGGGCATTTACTAACTAAAGTGGAGTGGGTATTTACTAACTAAAGTGGAGTGGGTATTTATTAATGAGTCATCAAAGAGTATATCTGTATAGGAGTATAACACAGCACATAGTATATCTCTATAGGGGTATAACACACACAGAGTATATCTCTATAGGGGTATTACATATAGATAATATAAATAAATATGTACTGTGACCACGTCTCATATGATACTCAATGCATATGATAGATAGTAAGTGGAAGGTGATAAAAAGTATTGTTAATGCCTAGGTCACACATGCAGCGGCGGCCGTGCGGTTTAAAATATCCACGGCCAAAAGCAATAGGACCGCCGCACAGTGGGCCAGGGAGGAACCAAAGTGCGCCAAAACTAAGTTTGGGTGATTTTTTTTTCAATTCTGTTCTTGCCCAGTTGAAAGATATTACATAGAAGATTACCTCAGTGAAATATTTAATTCCGGTATGCACAATAAGGGTATAAATTTACTACTTCAAACAGCAAAATCCTACATATTCACAGTTTTAGTGCAAAAGTGACTTATTTTATAAATCTTTCAATTCAACATGAAGTTTTTAAGTTATTGATAAGAAATTGCTCTCACATATTCCTGATTGTTCATTTCGTTGAATGAATGGGTTAAAATTAATAGAAACACAATCTTCATGATATATTATAGGGTAATTTACTGAAAAATGGACTAATTATCCATGTTTTTTATAAATTCAGAAGAAATGTTTAGATCTCCGCGGTGTACCGCTTAAATTTTAATACCACCATTTCCTCTGATGTCTAAGCTTTAGGTTGATACCAAATTTGGCTGCCCGATCTTGCCTGTTGTTATGTTAGAGCCGATTTTCCTTAACACATTGCCCCGAAAAATGTGGGTTTTTGGGGTCCGCGGCTGAATCATGAAGGATTCGTGGCGCGAGGGGGCGCGTGACACTTGTTCTGACACCGCGGACCAAAATAAACACAGTTTCCGGGGCAATGTTGCAAGGAAAACGGCTCTAACATAATAACGGGCAGAATCGGGCAGCCAAATCTGGTATCAACTTAAAGCTTAGACATCAGAGAAAATGTTGGTAATAAAATTGAAGCGAAAATCCCTGGAAATCCAAACATTTCCTCTAGGTTTATAAAAAATAAATCCCCAAACATGAGTTTTGGCGCACTTTGGTTCCTCTCTGGCCCACTGTGCGCCGCAGCATTCCCACGGTCACATACGGTAACGGTCAGATTATGTGAGGGTAGCCGCTCGGCGTATTTTTAATTTGTGGAGACAGAAAATATGTACGGCCTTTGAAGTGATACTGATGACGCACGGTCGCCTTAGGGCGTCCTTGCGGCGGCCGTCGCTTTTTGACAAATACTAAGGCAGACGCAAGGTAGCCGCAAGGTGCCAGCAAGGCGGCCAAAGGGAACCGTGCGGCTAGATTGATGCTACCGCTTTACCCCTGGAGTATATAAAACGCAAGGCTACCGTACGCCCGACGTACGGTCGCCGTGGAACCACTCTACGGCATCATACGGCATGTCTAATCGCTACATCGAACCTAGAAATGAAAACAGTTATAACTCTGCGTTATAATCCTACGGCGACACGTATACGGCCTGAAAAGATAGGCATACGCCCTAGGATGACCGTGAGGCCACCGCAGATTTCCTGCGGCCGCCGTAAATATCTCTCGATTTTGGGGGCGTACGGCCGCCGTTACCTATAGTCGTAGAGCAAATGTGACCTAGGCATTAGCAATGCTTTTAAATTAGAGGTTCCTGATAAAATAGACATTGTAATTAAGACGTAATTTAGAGGGACATTTAGAGGGACATTATTCATCATACTGGGAAGCAACTGTTCTGTGGATTGGCAGGTACAATGTACAATGACCATTGCCATTATGCACCACTATGTGTGTAATGCTCCTCTTTAAAAAAAAATCGTTTAATTATTATAATCTTAGCCAACCACTCTAGAGAAAAACAGGAAAAAAAATCAGTGAATTAGACCGGTGAAAGTTTGATTGAAATCGGACTAGAAATGAAAAAGTTATGAATTGTTGAGGTATGGGCTCTTCAAATTGGCTGAACCGGTAATGTCTCTGTGATGTAGTGGCGGACAACGTTCCCATTTGTTCCAACGCACAAAGTGACTACAATTTCAAATTTTCAAAAATGCATTACTCAGGAGTGATTATTCTCTTTAGAGGACCTATAGTAATGGATTGGACAAACTGACATTTTGATATTCGACTTTTTTTGTCCTCTTTGCCTCATCAGAGGATTTAAGTATACATGGTTTACATTCAAAAATACAATAATACAAATCAAGCTTACACATAATCACAAAAGCATCATTATTGGCATAACAACAATTTAAATTAAGTTTTGCTTTGCAAAGCATTCGACTTAGTGATCTCACAGATCAAACATGCATAACTTTCACATCATTTTTGTCTTATTTTTTTGAAACTTTTGCAATTCTATGGTATGTTATTTTTCTTTTTTCATAGAAACTAACTCTTTTTCAAGGGTTAGATTGCCCTTTAAGTTATAGTCTTTGCGATCAGGCTATTTTACTTTCCATTTTCAAAGCACGTAGAATGGTTAATCATGTTTATTCTCTCAACTCTGAGTTGTCCCCTGAACATTACGAACTTGTTCAGAGGTGGACCCAGATGTTGTAAGGTCGAAATAATTCCAACATTTTCTGTCTGCGTTGAGTAGAATTTTAGGAATGGTAATTGGGTTTGCCCCCTCCCCCCTCCCCCCCCCCCCCCCCCCCTCCGTCCATCCGCCAGTGATATATAATGTTTGATTTCCCGATGTGTTTTTCCTGTAGGAGAGAACACGCATACTTCCTCGTTACAATCAACCTTGTGATTATAACTTTCAATTTCGCATTATAACGAAATAATGTCTTTGCTCGCATGCCTAATGAAGGCTCGAAACACCATTGATCACGTATCGAAACAAAATGTCATATACATGTAACCTTACTTTGATGAAATTCCCCACCGTTGTCAGTAAACCATAACATGTATTACACAAAACACAAATCAATATCATTAAAAGATTACAATAATTGAAAATCATTGAAATTACAATAAATTATTGTAGGTGCTTAGTGAACAATGGATGTTTCTTCTAAAATGCTTCTACGCACTTAAAAAAACACACTTAGTACATACATGTAGTTCATCCCAGATATGTAGAATTAGAAGAGGAAGAGGTTATATGATACAAAATATTCTTTTTGAATCATTAATGATAATAATTCAGACATTTGTTACGCGCAACATATCCACCCAGAGGGTGCTCAAGGCGCTTACAATGAGCTACATAATATACTTAGATATAATTTTATAAAAAAAGAAGAAGATGATATTAGTCAAAGTTGGCCATTAGATAAGTTTTCAGACTGGCGTTGAAACTATCATTGCCTCTCTGAGATGAAAATTCCTTAATTATTCCTTTCAAATATTTCTTGCATGAGCTCCCTCGTTTTGATCTCGTGCATGAATAATAATAGTGGGTTTTTGTATAGCGCTCATGTCTGTCAGATTTGACACTCCTGCATGGCGCTCCACAAATATTACCCTGCATGGCTTTCTTTACCAAACCGAAATAAGTCATATCAACAGTACCTAACAATTTGAAAAAGAATTCCATCATCAATGTTTTCTATAATGTAGAAAGACAATCGCGGCATTCACCCCTTTTCCTTTTTTCATCCTCTTGAATAATATGGAAGGAGGACATATTATAGCAATGGGGTGACCACAAATCTAGATTATCCCCCGCCCCACATTTATAAAAAAAAAAAAACCTCCATACGCCCCAGCATGGCCTTTGTCCTAATAACACATCATTAATTTAATGGACAGAGACGGAGATTTGTATGTAATAAAAAGATACATGTCTTGAAAGGAGACTCTGATTGATTGCACATCGAAACATTCTGTAAGTCTAGAACAATGAGGACTAAACCTGACACTCTTCACAAAACGATCTTTAGCTGCAATTAGAAATCGCTCGTAGCATGAATATAGTAACGGACAAATCTCACTTCTCATTTGTCAACCAATAGTATATATTCTACTCTTACACGTTCAATTTCACTTTGGACTGTAGATGAAAGCGGATACTGTAGGCTATGTCTTCATTTTGTACATGTGTTGTTAAAAATATCTTTTATGACGAGTTTTTAGTTGTTGTTTCTTGAAAGACAAATATGTATAATAACTCTTCGAGTGGCACACTACGGCCGAATTCACCTGATGGGTATGAAACAATTCTCTATGCTACAAGGTACGTACAAATATCAGCTAATATAATACGAGGTACAAAATTATTTTGTGATTTGAAAGTATAACTACTTTCTTCAAATATAAAACATGAACAAGAGCAAAATGATATTGATTTTGATATACATTTCTTTCAGATAGAGTTGAGCTACTATATCTACGCTAAGGTATTATATTAAGCAGGAAGTGAGCTCTGTGTCGAGGAAGTTCATTTTATCAAAAGCAGAAAGTAGAAAGACATATGATCAGTGAAAGTGTAAGGACACTCCATAAGAAAATTCAATAATAACTAAGCCTTTTTTTCCTAGAAAGTTGTAACTGATCAAACGTATATTGGTAACATGCACTACTTCATGATACTGTTATGGATTTCCTCTTTTATTAGTTTTTCACTGAAAATTCAATCCTTTCTCATGGTTGTTGATAAAATAAGTGCTAAATGAAATCTAGGTCACAGTTATTATAAAGCAATTGTTCTCTCCAAAAAAGGAGAAAAATAGGAACGTTTCAGGACATGAAAATTAAGGAGAGGTGCTCAAAAGGAAAGTCACAGAGTAATATTTTTGAGCCCATTTGTGTTTTCTCGATTACAAATTTCAAATGCATAACTCACTTGTCCTTTCTC